ACATTGTTTTAAGCATCCAAAAAGGAGATGTAAGCATAATAAACTAGGAATGCTCAGTAGTTACTTCCATTCATACATCAAATTTGTAAATCTCAGTGAGTTTGACACCTCTAGCTGTTTCATATTTGGATAATTTACTCGAAAAAGACGTTTATGGTTACCTTACAATAAAACTTTAAAATGAAGGTGATGAATTTAGAATTGTCAACTTCTCATACTTATGTAGCAGTATACCCCCTATATGGGATTTATGTGTCCCAGGTGTTTTGATATTCCAAAGCATGCTGTAATCTTGTTTAGAGTATTCATTTCGCAAGTTTTATGGTCGTAATGTAACAATGATTTTTTTTTTTTTAGAAAACTCAATTTATTACATCAAACATTTGTGACTTTAATTAGAATCATAATGAAATAATCTGACACCCCTTTCTAATAGACTATCTCACTAGTATACTTAAGTAAGAGACACTGAGAGGCTGTGTCATTCTTGGTACAGAGGAATCAGAGAGTAGGTAATCAGAGAGTAGGTAATAATAATTTCTAGAGTATATAAACTTCTTAACTCATACAGTTGATCAGCTGGTCCGAATAGAGCCGAAGATGTTCAATTGTTTGAGATATAGTTTGGCAAGTCATAAGGTAGAGGTCTGAAATTTTGTCAGGAAGATCAGGTCTAGGGGCCCAAATAGAGCCGACCTGTCCTCGGTGCTTGTGCTCTGCATCTATTTCATCAGTAATAAGAAGTTTAGGTTTACCTACGTTGTAACTAGCTAGTTGTATTTGATTCTTTCATGATTTTTACCAAAGGCAGGGATACTTTTTGAAAAATATAAATCTAGTGAATGATTGAGAAAAATTGTTTGCCATTTTACCATATTGAAACAAAGTAAGCGTCAAGATCTCAATTACGCATAAGACTATCATTTAGTACAAAATTTCTAATCTGACTAAAGTAATTTTTTAATACTCATCTAAAGCACCTGATCCCATTTCCGTTTTTTTTTTCTAGAAGTCCGTGTTGTATACACTGTTCGCCGATTGGTATTGCTTGGATTTCTTTTATTGATCTAAAATATATATTAAAACAAATACTGTTTCAAATTTTTAATACAAACACTATATGCTTACGCCTTAGTTCATGGCATTCATTTTTCAGCTTATTACTGTATACAGGGTTATTTTCGCCCCGTGTTATTTTCGCCCTTTCACATCTGAAAACAAGTTTGTCCCGTTTTAAATTCGCCCAGAAAAAAATTTTGTTTAGGAAATTATACTGTTTACTTTATTGTTTCTTTCAAAGGTGAAAGGGGCTTTTCCCTGTATACAGTATTCAACTTATCCAACTTGTCATCCAACTTATACTCATAGTTCCCTTTCTAAGGAAGACATTCTTCAAAATTATAGGTCAGTTTTGAATATTTTTAATATCCCAAAGAAAAAAATGAATTTGAACTACCATACATATGTACTGGAATCCGAAGTTCATAAGAATCCTTACAAACAGAGATACATAACGGATTCCAGTAAATGTTCAACTAAGCCTCTTTCTTTACTCCTCACTAAGATATTAACAGTAGTGAAGGAGAAACTTCAATGGTACAACAATATATTCGAGAATTGGTGTAAATCAGATTTGGATACTAAAAAATTCCTAAAAATCATTTGGACGATTTGAAATCACAAGATTTTTACAAAATCAACAGCTTAAAATTAACGACTTTTCAACTTTATACACAACCATTCCCCACGATAAAATAAAATCCAGGCTTTTCTTTACCATGAACAGCTGCTTTTTAAATAAAAATGGATATCGTAAATTTACTAACCTTGTCATTGGTCCTTTGCAAATTTATTTCGTTAAAAACATTATGGTTGTACACCCAAGTACTGTGATGTTGACATCAAAAAGATGTTTGAGTTTCTGATTGACAATTTCTATGTTGTTTTTGGAGACCAGTTCTTCCATTAATCTATTAGAATTCCCACGGGTACCACATGCACCCCATTATTTGAAGACCTATATTCGTATATATATGAAGCACAATTTGTACAAAATCTTATGCACGAAGTGAAACATACAAAAATAACGAACAATATTCAAGATCAAAAGTCCATAACACAATACAAACTAGGAGCAGAGCAAACATGGACCTCCAAAACATCAGAGGTGGGATCAGGTGACATGGAGGAGTGAGCATCCCCTGCTGACCAGACACACCCGCCGTGTGCTCCTTGTCATGATCGGGAAATAACGGGAAAATCCATCGTCAATTCAGTGTATAAATAATGGACTATCAATTAGTGTAAAAAAAACACTTGCTGTGGCCTTACACTCAATACGTGGATATATCGACGACATATTGTCAATTAACAATGGTAATTTCCATTCTTATGTCGATACGATATATCCTGGTGCGCTTGAGATAAAAGATATTAAAGAATCTGACACATCAGTGTCATATTTGAATATTTTACTTGACGTTTATTTAAGGTTCACTGTTTATAAAGCGTAAACTGCCCTAAATTATGTTATATCGTATAATATAGGTTGAAATAAGCTTCATTACATAATTTAATTTCAGTGTAGACAATTTTTTCCTCCGGAAAAAGACTTCAAATGGAGCATATTTTAAAAGTAACGTCAAGCGGGGTAAATGTTTTTGACGTTACTCATTGTGACGTAGGCAATTTATTTTATACAAGATAGATTAAATATTTTACCCAATCAAATGACGTGTTACAACTAAAATTTAATTATGAAACGTTAATGGTAATCTAACAGCTCTATGATAAACGTGATGACTTTAACTTTTCTATCGTCAACTTCCCTTACTTATGTAGCAATACATCTTCATCACCTGTATACGGAGTTTATATATGTGTCAGTTGATTCGATCCGCAAGAGCATGCTCTACATATGAAAAATTTCTAAAACGAGGTAAATTATTGACAAACAAGTTGATGAAACAAGAATATCAACAGTCTCGTTTAAAGTAATCATTTTGTAAGTTCTATGGTCGATACAATGACCTTGTCAGCAAATACAGTTTTTCATTGAGTCAAATGCTGACTGACGTTTTTCATACTAATTGTTAGTCCGTTATTTTTACACTGAATTTACGATGGATTTTTCCGTTACTTCCCAATCATGACATGGAGCACACGGCAGGTGTGAACGGTCGGCGAGGATGCTCATTCCTCTATGACACCTGATCTTACTTATGATGTTTTGGAGGTCCATGTTTGCTCTGCTCCTATTTTGTATTGTTTTATGGACTTTTGATCTTGAATACTGTTCGTTATCTTATAATATGTTTCATTCCCGTGTTTGCTCTGCTCCAGATAAGTTATCCGAAGGCTCAAGTGAGCTTTTCTGATCAAAATTTGTCTTTGTCTGTCGTTGTAAACTTTTTACATTTTCATCTTCTTCTCAAGAACCACTGGGCCAATTTCAAACAAACTTGCCACAAAGTATCCTTGGAAAAGGAAAATTTAAGATTGATCAAATGAAGGGCCATGCACCTTTTCAAAGGAAAATAATTATGAATTAGTGAAAAATTACTGGCATCTTTCAAAAATCTTCTTCCCAAGAACCACTTAGTCAGGAAAGATGAAACTCATGTGGAAGCATTCTCTGGTAGTGTAGATTTAAAAATCTTCTCAAGAACAGCAAAGCCATGATTGGTCATAGTTATATGAAGGCATCCTCTGGTAGTGAAGATTCAAGTTTGTTCAAATCATGACCCTGGGGGTAGGGTGGGACCACAATGGGGGATCAAAGTTTAACATAGGAATAAATAGGAAAAATCTTTATAAATCTTCTTTTCAAGAAGAACTGAGCCAGGTACGATGAAACATGTGGAGACATCCTCTGGTAGTGTAGATTCAAATTTGTTCAAATCATGACCCCGGGATGGGGTGGGGCCACAATGTGTGATCAAGGTTTTAGGAAGGAATATATAGGAAAAATTATTAAATTTCTTCACAAGAATAACATAGCCATAATTGGTCATCAATTAAAAAAAAACATCAAAAAAGGTAATTTAGATTTGCTTTTACCTAGTTAGTTTCTTAGGTGAGCAATATGGCCCTTATGCCTTTTGCTAAATGGATTTTGAAGTAAACCAAGTGAAAATTTTATTAGGATAGCCATATCATAATTTGGAATATGATGCGTTATAAAGATATGTAGTAAGTTTTTAGAATTTTCATTCTCGTCTTGCATGGAAGCCAGTTGGCAGTCGGAAAAAATTATTTCCAAAAACTTTCACTTTTAAAGTAAAAGCCAATTTTTTCTTTCATAAGGGATTGGATGTTTCCGGATACATGTATGTGCAGTGCAATAAAGTTTGGAAATTTTATTTTTTTTTCCTCTCTAAAAAGCCAATAAGGGAGTGAAAAATGCACCGGAAATCGAGTAACCTTGACACGGGATGTCGCGTTCAGTTATCACATCCAAATAATACCCACGCCTGATAACCAATTATTGTTATTAAATCTGAATATATACAAATTATCAGTAATCTGTAGGAAATAGGGATTTTATTTCTTATGGTATCTTTTGCTGCAGGGTAGTTCACTTCGAAATGACACGTTACAAAGATTACCAAAAAGGCTTTTACTTATTAAGGTATTTATATTGGTGAACATGATCAGCTCAACCATTGTTCATGTTTTGATTTATGGCAGTCACCTTTTTAGTTCCAAAAGCAATGAAAGTTTAGTATCAACAAATATGCAAACTTTGTGCATTATATTCTAATTTAACTGGTTGTTTTTGGCACTATCGTATTCCAATCCAGAGCTGGACATATATGAAATGAAAGTGACAAACAATAAGATATTTTTCAACAAATAAGTGTAAAGCTTATTTATTTCTGGTGTATAATAACAAATATTATTTAATATGAAAAATTGAAAGTATTAACTAGATAGTAAGGATATATGTTAAAACACAATTTACGAAAATTAATCCATGTGTAAATTAATGATAACTCGCAGTAACAACAAACAAGACATTTTATTCCAACAATATTACAAAGCAAGGTCATTGTAAGGAAAAAAATAGACAGAAAAACACTGGAAACTGTTCATAAATGTTTTCCACTCCGTCCCAAAAAGAAACTTCAGAACTGAACCTCCATTAGACCCTCTACAGTACAAGATTTTCCTGCCGAGTTAAGACTGATCTCGTTTTTAAACTGTCTCTCGATAACGTTAATCTGTAAAAGCACCTGTTGTAAGTCTTCCTCTTGACTCATTCCGTCAGTCGATTTCAGACTACTTCCACTTATCGATGGTGCTGGACTATGACTTCCGGAGGTTTGAGCCTCGTTTTGGGGAATGAGCTCGTGCTCTTGTAACTTCCGCCCCGTCGTGTTATTAAAACGAGGCGGCATTGAAGTGTATGCCGTTTCTGTGTGGCTGTTGGCTGGTAACAATTTGGAGAACGGGAGTTTCTTTCTTAACTTTATTGGTCTTCGACAACACTTTGATTTAAGGATGGTTTCTCGCAAACCTTGTCTGAATTTGAAAGACATGACGCTGTAGAGAACCGGATTGACGGTGCAGTTTATAAAATAGAAAATTCCTGACACATAAAATAGAGTTCTGTAGATCCGAAGAAGTGGAGCGGTCCATACACTGATAGAAACCGACATCATCCGCTCGGCGTGAAATGGTGCCCAACAGACAAAGAAGGCCACAACTACTGCCACTGAAAATATATATAAAAGATGACATACATATACAAATAAGTCTACACATTTGACCAAACAATAAGCTGTATTTGCAAACAAGGGTAATTTACCGACCATAGACTTAAGAAATATTGACTTTCAAGAAATTGATTTTACCCATTGATCATCAACGTATTACTCATTAGCTTGTCAGACTCTGTGGTATCTTTTATTTTGAGTTCAGTATGATGCAACTAATTAAATAAAGCGAGCGCAGCGAGTGTCGCAAACCGACGCTCGTCACTCACTGCGAACTCTTAATGCAACGCCTGGGTGAAGAGAAAATTCGGACTTTGCATGTTGATCCAAACGAAATGTTTTCCTCGGTTACTCTGGACCCACAATGCATCGCTTGTTAAAGCTACGTTCTCGCGAGAATAACGGAAAAAGTTCAACAAAACGTTAACTCGCTTTGATTTAATGGATTTTTATTGAAGATAAAGAAACATTCTTCATTAATTTTCAGCACTGTCCAGACGCAACAAATATCATGTGCGGTTTGACGAGCCTTATATATTAAAGCAAAGTATCTGCACTCGCCCTAACGGTCGCGCCGTCAACATATTATATGACTGGAAATAGATAATTTTAATCATCCTGATAAACGAAGGTAGACTTGATTAATTTACTTTTTATTTATGATATTCAATATTATGAGGTAAGTTTGAATGTATGTAATACTTGTAAACAGAATAATTGACTTTCATAAGACTGGTTTTGATAAGCTGTAGCTGAACAAAACATAAGAAGGTGAACAGGATCAAATATGGCGGTGTTTCCGGTGTAGTTAAGTTGTCAATCCTTACTTGGTTTTATTTTACAAGACTGGTGTTGCAATTATTTAGGCTCTAATCTTAATATAAAATATGTTCTTTTGCCGGGAATATTGATTTTGCCGAGTATTAATCCCAATGGTGTAGAATTCATCTTAGATAAGAGTATGGGACTGCAGATTACATACAGGTTTTGGAATATTAACGGAAAGCACATCTGTTGATATTCAGAATCCTTTTGCAGTATTCCGGTCGTTTATGTGTAATATTGTTTTATCATGTTTATGGATATTCATATTCACATTATTTTCAATGTTTAAACTTCTGAAAGGGTTGATTTCTTTTTTGTTGAATTCAGCTATAAATCTGTATCTTTTTAGCAGACAGAATTGACCTCCACGACAACTGTCGTAAACTTTTATCTTTTGACAATTTTTAGATTCGCTGGAACAAATAGCGGAAATATGAAAAAAAAAATCACATTGCTTGACTTAATGTAGCCACTAAAAATCAAAACTTATTATTCAGTCAAACTGAAATTTATTGCTTTTCAATATTCCATTCATTGTTTTTTTAAATATCCACAATATAAAGTGCAAAAAGAGCAAATGACGAGGAAATCAACAATGTACAATTGTACATGCATTTTTTCAAAAAGCATTAAAATATCTTTAGTTACAAGTACATTATTGTTGTCGTTATTTTGAGAAATACACAATAAATCGATAATAAAATTCACTTTAAAGAAGCTAGGTGAAAAGAGAAATAGTCATTATCCCAAATTCTGCAAGGAGTATAAAACATGAAAAGGGAAAATGCAGGATTTTGATAATCATTTCGAAATAATTGATTTAAAGATTGGCATACAGTCCTTAATCTGTCTTCTTTTTAGTAAATTGTTTCTTATTTGTTATAATTCATTTTTATTAATTCTCCTACACAATATATATACAGAGCATAAATTATGTAACCCTTTTTTCCGCTATGCAAAACTGAGTTTGATCAAAACTTGGGGCTGTAATTACTGAAAATTTTCAAAATTATTTTCACGAGGTAGATATTAGACGTTATTATTGTTTCTTTAAACTAAATTTACACAAGGTTTGCGAGCAGAAAATCTTTCGTTTTAATAAAAGGGGCTCACAAATAAAAAAAAAATAAAATTTTTTAGATGTTTCAGGGCAACGAACCAAAATGTTGTATGGTTCACGCAGCAAACAAACATAAGCGTACTACAAGTTAATTTTCTAATATTGTAGGGAGAAAAAAAGAACCACTGTGTGTGTTTGATTGAATTTGCAGTGACTTCTGGTGAATAAATGATATAAAGATAAATTATCAATCTCGTTTAATGTCAATTTTGACAAATTCAGTGGTTGTTACAAAGACCTTGTTAGCAATCTGTCGTTTTGCCGAATGCTGACTGACGTCCCTCAATCAAATGACTTGTTTTGTCACACTGAATTGGCTACCGATTCTTCCTTTTGCCCAGTTATGATATGAAGCACACGGCGGTCTACAGGAACTTCTTACTCCTATGTGGCATCTTATCCCACCCCTGTTTTCAGCGGTTTATTTTTGTTTTGCTCAATAATTTGAATTATTCAAACGAAGTTTTGAGAATTAACATTATACAATTGTCGACTTTTGATGAGGTATACTCGTGACTATACAGACCTGGTCAGGTATTGGTTGACCGAGGCCGAAGGCCGAGGTTAACCAATTCCTGACTAGGTCTGTATAGTCACGAGTAGACCAAATTCAAAAGTCAATAACCTTTCTATGAAATGATCAGGAATTTTACAACACTTTTGACACTTTCAATCTTGTCTCCATTAAAAAAAACACCCATGGTATAATTGTCACGACTTATCTAATTAATAACTAGCAGTTAAAAATGGAAAACAATATTATTAAACAATCAATACTCAACCATTTACTTTCAAAAACGGTTTATTTCCTTGGTACTGGCGTCTGATATGTTTACATTCACACCGACACATGCTTTGAAACACGCAATCTGATTGGTCGAAAAAAACTGTAAGGAAATCTATGGTTGGTCAAGAGGAAAAACCCGAATAAACTTCCCAGAACGTCATATGAGGTGAGCTCACTCTGAGGAAAAGGCGTCTAGACCAATCAGAGAGCACCAAAATTCCTGATCATTTAACAATGTTTGTTATCTTCTTACTTACCACATGTTTTATTATTATTATTAACTAACCATTGATAGTTTTATATCGATTTCTTGTATTTTTTTTATTTGGTACACTTTTCAAATACGAATATTTACATAATTGCAAATATCTTTCTTAGATGAACCTATTGAAAATAACCTACGTTCAATTCTGTGTGAATTTCATTTGGGGGTCAGAGGTCATAGCGCGACCGGATCACAGTGCGATGTGATATTTTGACCAAACAACTTCTAGGTTATTGCGCGTCACTACATATCAATTCGTTGGTCCGTTCGTGTAATAAATACAATTTAACTCGAAATGTATTCGTTTCAAATGTAAATATAAGTAATAAACAACAATGTTAAAAAGTTCACTGGGAAATGAACTTTTAGTTGGTACGTGATCAAATCTACTGAGAAGCCCTTTGGGCTTCACAGGATTTGATCACGTGACCAACTAAAAGTTCATTTCCCAGAGAACTTTTTAACATTGTTGTTTATTTCTTAATTATACGTGTCATTTAGGTATGTACGAGGTGCTGGCTAATCTAATAAGTGTCCATAAAATATGTCATATCAGAATGGGACATACATGAATGTTAAATTGCGCCTTGTGTTGCACCTTGAAATTTTATACTTTGAATTGATTCATTTGAGAGAGAGAGAGAGAGTTACCAAGCATTTTAAGGACAGAGCGTCTGGCCCGTGCCTGTAGCTGTACGTTGGCGTCAGGACGCCCCTTGCTATCTCGTAAACAGGTTACTTGTTCTTTTGACGTTTTTGAGGCATCAGAGGAGGATCTATGTATCTTAGGGGCGTCAATGGTAGATCGATGTATGGCAGCAGCAATCAAGCTGTACAGGACGCTGATAAAAATCATCGGGACGATGAAAAACAAGCAGGTAGAGGCGAGGAACCAGCCTGTGATGGGTGCGTGTTTATACGTGCACATCGCCGACTCGTCGATCGTCCTATTCCTGGGGTCCTTCATTTTCACCACGCCATATTGGTTGGCGATTGGAATGGCGGTACACACCGCTACTATCCAAACGCAGACAATCACTCTGGCTGCACGCGCAAGGCTGGACATCTTCTGAGCCTTCATCGGGAAGCAAATAGCGACATACCGCTCAATGGTGAAAGCTGTGATGGTGAGAATGGACGTATTAGTGGATATTTCACAGACAAACGCGCGCATGACACACAATGTTTCTCCAAACACCCAAGGGTAGAGCGACCAGACGGAATATAAATCAGGGGGAAGACCAATCACTAGCAATAAAAGGTCAGCTATGGCAAGGTTAAACAAGTAAAAGTTCGTGGCTGTGTGCATGAACTTGTTTCTAGCGATAACAACGCACGTGCAAAGGTTGCCAAGGACACCGGTAACGAGGAGAATGCTGTAGATGATTGTGATTGGTATAACGACAGCAAGACTATCCCGCCGCGGGTACATGTACAGTTCAAGAAACCGCCAAATATCAAAAGGAGGCCCTGCACCAGTTGTGTTGTACTTGATGGCATGAAGTGCCCGGATAAGATGTCGTAGCTGAGAGTCGCTGCAGGTGGCATTATAGAGCTCTTCACACAAACTGATCAGGTAGTCCATGGTGCTCTCAGAAAACGTCATAGCCAATCAGGGAGGTTGACATTAAGAATAAGTCTGCAATTCAAGAAAAAAATCACTTTATAAAGAAAATTCTCGTGTTTATAAAAAAGATTTATGTAATCTTAAAATTTCTGTCGACTGTTAAATAATACTTTTTTCGTCATTTTAAAAAACATGATCAGTGGGATTGGCGGGAAAAAAAAATGATGACCTATTGCAGGTTGTATCTATGTGTAGGTTTGATCCAACAGTCTTTTTGAAAAACAGTCTGTGTTTTCAATGTCTTATTTTAAAACAGTATGGAACTGTCACAAAGATTAAAAGAAGAAACTTCACCTATAGAAGTACATAAATATTTCAGGTGTACAATAAAAGGGATATAAACATAGCAAACAGGAGGAAAAAGACATTATTCAATATTTACTGAGAAGTTATTTAATACAATGCCACACAAGTGAACAATGACCTAACGCGGAGTAAAAAGTAAGAAAACGGAAAATGAACAGTTACTGGTTCTCTGTCGGCGAAGAGTAGCATGAACGGTTAGCAAACCACTCTCAAACAGAGTTGAGGATGCTTGCAAAGGGAACTGTTTAATAAGAAATAAATAACAAGTTTAGAAACATCAATGGGAATTGAAGTGGGTCGGTCATGTGATCAAATCCTGTGAAGGCCGAAGGTATATACATTTGAGACAGACAACTGAATATTTTTGAATATAAATTATTGCACTAACCGTCCGTCGTAGATTTTGAAAAATGACGCAAGGTGTAAATCGGCTTGAATGGCGGTTACGCTTCGAATTCACCAGGCTAAGGATTTTATTTCTAATGGAATATTTTGTGAAAGGCTACTTCTGATCAGTAATAGTGAATAGATTGTTGTCTGGGAATATTTTTATTCGTGAAAACTGATAATCAATGCTGAAAAGACACAAGAAACACTTCCGATTCGAAGACCGATGATAAAAAGTAGGAGGAATTTTGGTCGCCAGAAAGGGATGGATGGATCCGATGGATGGAAACATTTGACCGAGCCAGTTAAATTGCAATCAACTGGATTTGATAAAAAACATTCAATCTACGATTTCAATGAATAAAGGCATATTTATGATGAAAACACGGAGACGGCGACAATTTATTGTTACGACAACTCCGATGTGTTTGTCAGCTATTTGTGTCGTGATTGCAATGCTTTGATATTTTCCAACAGATTTACACATCTATCTTGAGTAGAATTTAATGGAAATAGTATAGTTTTTCATAGAATATTAATTAAAGGTGTACCCCAAAATTAGGATAAACGTTAGAGACTGTGCAGCTGACAAAAGCACCCCTACTAATGTTATTGTGATTTAAATTCAAGACACGTGGGTTAGGTTTACCTGTTCAAAGGTTATAGGGTAGAACCGGTTTTATAAATAAAATTGGCAATAAACAGGAAATTGCTATAGTCTGTTTCTTCTGATAACATCCCTGTGAAAAATGTGTTTCCACAACTTTCAAAAAGACTTTCATGATTTTCAACAGAAATGGGTGGCTTTGGGGTGGGGGGTAAATAACAATTAATACATCTTATCATAGTTAACTGCAAAAATTACAGCTCACAAGTACTCACTGGTAAAAAAAATGTGTAATATCATCTACACTGACAAACCTTTGTTTGCCTTATATGGCTATTGCTATTAATGCGCACAGAGGATCTTACCACGAGCAATGGACCAATTCAATCGCATCATCTCGGGTCTTTCCGTCAGAGATCGGAAAAACAACCTCGAATGTATTAACATCGCCGGATGTTAAAATTTATACATTTCCTGTTTAGTCAAATGTATGATAGACGGTGTTAGATGTCCCTTTTATAGTATATTTTAGGTAATATCATTACATTGATTAAAGTTAAACTCCATATTCAACAGATAAAAGGTCTCCATGCATTTATTTAAAAGATCATGAAAAAGGAGGGTTGTCATGGCGTCTACCATATACATTCGAGGTCGTTTTTCCTCTAGTCGGAAAGGCCCGAGAAGTTACGATTGTGGACCAATTATTGATTGACATGTTTACATGTTACTTCGAACACGTGGTTCAGGTCAATCTATGATCATGTCAATGGAGAGCAGAATAAAAAAAGTTCTTATGAACAAAATGCAAACATAAGAAACTATGAAAAATATAACGGGCGTTTTTAATGTGTTGTTAACTAGAGAAATACGAGGGTCATTCAAAAAGTTCGTAGACTTTTGTTCTTACTTTTTTATTTAACGTCATATTATATCCAAATTTAGTACAAATATTTTAACAACAGATTCAAATAATTTAAGTACAAAAATTGGAATGTATCTTCATATTTATAAAAATTACCAAGGATTTAGAACAGCAAAAATGGGTCACGGAGCACCGTCAAAATTGAGTATTTTTCTTATTTTCACTTTACAGTATTTATAGCTATACCTCTAATAAATGGAACTGAAACGAAATAAAATTTACATGTTTAATTAAATAAAGTATTGTTGTATTAATTAAAATGAAATCAGGTTATGTAATATTTCGCTCCATTTAAAAGATATCAGCTTCTAAATACATAAGGACTTGACTGAAAAAAATCAAAAAAACCATGACGTTTGAGGACGTCACGGAGCAGCAAGTAGCAATAAAATTAGACTTTACACTCAGGGAACTTCTTCTACAAGCTTAAAAAATCCTTTTAAACCAGGATATGTATGAAAAATAATCTGTGTATTTGTATTAAATTAAAAACACAATTTTTGAGTGGTAGCGAGTTTGAATCGGACGATGGATTGTCTGTAAAGAAACAGGTTAAAGATAAAAATATTGTCAAAAGAGTTAGGAACGTCATTGAACGTGATATGTGCTTCAATGTTGCAGAAATAATAGAGTTGCATAGTAATTTAAAGAATTTGAAAACAATAACATTCTTATTCAAGCTATATTTGTACAATTGTTAGCAAACTAGGTGTTAAGTGTTGTGGATATGTGTTTTGAATGGGGAAGACATTACAGACTGTGTTTGACATAAAAAAAAATGAGTATACTTTTGACCAACCTTCTCAGCGTTGTTGTTGACGTTACAATATTGGTTAACCGTGCTCCGTGGTAACAAAACATGTTGCTTTAAATTTTGGCTAACATGAGTTCTATTTAATCAAATGGAATGAAACTTCACACTTCGACAAAATAAATGTTTATGTTTACGAAAATGTATTGATCTATAATCTTGTAATAATCATATGACGATGAGAAGCATTGTCTACGTATTTTTTGAATGACCCTCGTATATGTTTTTAAATAAAATGTATACGTAGTTACTGTCAAGTTCAGAACACCAGCACTTCAAGGGTAAGGAAAACGAGCAGCTTCTCGTATGCATTTAAATGGACAAAACATTCTTTCACATAACTATACTCGTGATAACGTGTGTTGGCCAGGGAATCCACCAGACAATTGTATTCACCGATAGTACAGTAAAGGAATTTATCAAGCGTAAAATTCCTGTAGTATTTGTGTAGTAGCCCATAATGCAATTCTCATTCATCTGATTTGTCAGTTAAAGTCGCATTGGTGCCTCATTTGCTAATCTGACGCCAAAAAATATAGTCCCGGTTCCCATGCAAAATATTTGTCTAAAAATAAATTTTAATTCATGACAGCAGAAAAAAATAGAGAATACTTATAATTTAAACTTGAATGAATTCAAGAAAGATCGATTGAAGTACATTTCTACAGAATGATGTTATGGGGTGGTGAAAACTAAAACGCAACATAACTTTTCTGTTTACCATGTCTCCACGTGCTAGTCACTTCCTAGCCAAATTTCCGTGAATAATTTACCCTATCTCGCTGAAGTCTCGCTAACTCTCGCCAGAGCCACTGTCAGAGCTACTCTGAACTCATCGGGTTTTATAATCTGCAGAACACCGAAATATAAAAAGGTTCCGAACACATTAGTAGGGGTGAAAAGTATCATAAAAGGTATAAACAAACGCTAGTTTTCATGTGTATATTCTCTATGTACGCAGGTTAAATCGATAGCCAAAAAATGTATGAAATACTCGTTTACAATGTAAATAAAATAATGATTATTTTACATGCTTATTTTGTTCATTTCTATACATGAAAAGCAAGTAGAGCAAGTACCGGTAGAGATCATTGCGCCGTGTGATTAGGTCACGTATTGACCTTTGACAAACTTCATACAGAATTGAAGATATTTGTTCTCTGTATGTTTATATAATATATACATTTGTGGTATCTCTCCATTATATAAACATACAGAGAGAAAATATCTTCAATTCTGTATGAAGTTTGTCAGAGGTCAGAGGTCAATACGTGACCTAATCACACGGCGCAATAATATCTACCGGTACATAAATTATAAAATGACCTGCTCTACTTGCTTTTCCTGTATAAAAATGAACGAATAAGCAAGTAAAATGATAATTATTTTATTTACAATGTAAACAAGTATTCCATACAGCTTTTTGGCTATCGATTTAACCTGTGTACATAGAGAAAACTAACGCTTGTTTACATTTCTTTTTCACTTTTGTTAGCTGCAATAGTCTGTAACGTTCATCCTTATTTTTTGGGTAAACCTTTGGTTAAATTTTCATGATAAACTATCATTTTATCTTTAAATTCTACTCACGATAAATATGTAAATCTTTTGGAAAACATCATTGCAATCATTCCATGAACAGCTGCCAAACACCTAGGCGTTTTCGTAGTTCAATGTAAAGCTGTCGCCAGTGACTCTGTGTTTATCAGCGTTTTACGAAAAGTAGGCTATACCTTAAGTTACTGAAATCGTAGAATGTTTTGATCAAATTGCAAATTAACTGGCTCGGACAAGTGTCTCAATCCATCGGATCCATCCATCCCTTCCCGGCGACCGAAATTCCTCCAACTTTTTATCATCAAACTTCGGACGTGTTTCTTGTCTTTTCAGCATCGATTATCAATTTTCACGAATAAAGATACTCCCAGACAACAATCTGTTCACTATTACTGATCACAAGTAGCCTTTCACAAAAT